CCCCAAATCCCAACCATTGACCCCAAATGTCAACCATTGACAATAAATCCCAACCATTGACCCCAAATCTCAGCCATTGACCCCAAATCCCAACCATTGACCCCAAATCCCAACCATTGACCCCAAATCCCAACCATTGACCCCAAATCCCAACCATTGACCCGTATCATGATTGTTGACCCAAATCTCAACCATTGACCCCCAATCTCTGCCCCGTTCAGCCCCTGTGGCTCCTCTGCCGCCCCTCCGGCTTCACCTTCGGCGACTACACCATGTACTGGGTGCGCCAGAGCCCCGGGAAGGGGCTGGAATGGGTCGCCGGGATCAGCTATAATGGTCGTTACACCTACTACGCGCCGTCGGTGAAGGGCCGGTTCAGCATCGCCAGGGACAACGGGCAGAGCTCGGTGACGCTGCAGATGAACAACCTCAGGGACGAGGATTCCGCCACCTATTTCTGCGCCAGGAGCTATGATGGGGGTGTTAATTATGCCGATGATTTTCCCAACCCCCTTCAAGGGGTCCCCAAACATCCCCAAACCCCAGACCCTCCCCTCAAATGCCCCTTCCACCCTTCACACCCAGCTCTGGCTCGTCGATCCCGACCTTGGGCTGGTTTGGCCCCAAATTCCCCACCTGTGGCCCCCAAAACCCAACTCTTTGTCCCAAAGTTCAGCCATTGACCCAAAATCTCAACCATTGACCCCAAACTCTGCAAAAGGTGAAGATTGGGGTCAATGGTTGAGATTTTGGGTCAATGGTCGAGATTTGGGGTCAACGTTTGACGTTTGGCATCGACGGTTCAGATTTGGGTGCGAGGGGCGGAGCTTTGGGGGGAGGGTCTGGGGAGGTTTGGGGACCCCACAAAGGGGGTCGATATCACCAGTATCACCACCCCAACTAATACTACCATCATCATCCCTGGCACAGAAATAGGTGGTGGAATCCTCGTCCCTGAGGTTGTTCATCTGCAGCGTCACCGAGCTCTGCCCGTTGTCCCTGGCCATGCTGAACCGGCCCTTCACCGACGGCGCGTAGGCGGTGCTGGAACCATCCTTGTAGATCCCAGCGACCCATTCCAGCCCCTTCCCGGGGCTCTGGCGCACCCAGTTCATGTCGTGGTTGCTGAATGTGAAGCCAGAGGGGCGGCAGAGGAGCCACAGGGACTGAACGGGGCAGAGATTGGGGGTCAATGGTTGAGATTTGGGTCAACAATCATGATACGGGTCACTGGTTGAGATTTGGGGTCAATGGTTGGGATTTGGGGTCAATGGTTGGGATTTGGGGTCAATGGTTGAGATTTGGGGTCA